GCGCGAGGCTTCGCGTAAAACAGCTCGACACTCCGGAGAGTCGAGGCAGGCAGTTTCGCTCGGAATGCGCGAACGTCGCGAAGGGCGAGCAGCTGGCAGCAGCCGAAGCCGCGCGTGTACCGCGAACGGCGCGGAGAGACGCTCGAGGCCGATTGTAAATCTGGGCAAATTGATCGCAAATCAGCGGCGACCAGGTTGCTCGGTCTCGTGCGTGCCGCTGGCGCTCGCGAGCTGCTTAGAGCGCAGAGCCGAGGACTCGATCGACAATGGGCGCGCGCGTGCGGCTGATGCGCCCTCGGCCTCCGTGGAGCCGAGCGAGAGGGTAAATCTGCTCGCGACGCTCGCATCTGCTTAGCATAATAGCGTCCGCGCCGGCGATAACTCTCGGCATGGGTCGTATCGTGGCGGCGTCGGCCGATAAATTAATCAGAGCGCGCTCTCGCGCTGCAACAGCCGGCGCTGAGGAGCTGTTAATAAAGCTGCGCGCGCTCTCGCAGCGTGCGGTCAAAAAAAGCCCCTGAACTTGGTGCGGCGGCTCGTTTGTCCAGCGCCGACCGATAGCACGCATATATATGAAAACGGCGAGCCGCTTTGGGCTCTCTCTCTCTCTCTCTCTCTCTCTTCGGGTTAACGACGCCGATCAGAAACTCGGCCACGCCCACTTTCCGCCTGGCATTTTCTGGCCGCGGAAACGCTCGGCCAATTTTTCAGCGGCGCGCGCAAGAATTTTCACTCGTGACGGCGGCATTCGGCTCGAAAAGGAGGCCGTGGACAGCACTGGCATTGTATTCCGAGGCCAGTAAATCGTATAAGGTATAGGAGTGTAAATGAGAGAGGCGCGCGCGAACGTTCGTTCGTTCGCCGGAGAGAGCGAGATTTATTCAAACTCACACACGGAGGAGACAGCGCGCGGCCTTTGTCGCATTCTGCGCGCGCGACAGAGCCGAAAAAGCTACCGGAATCGAGCACCTTCCTTTCGGACGAGCAGCTGGGAACGCGTACGCAAAACGATCCCGCCGTCGTAATTGCGGAACGAAGCTCCAGCGTGGAGGCACGATTTAGTGCCTCGGGCTCCGACTTATTGCCCCCCCCCCCCCCGGCACAAGCCTCTCAGCGGCCACGGGAGTCTCTTTCCTTTCGGGAAAAATTTCCAGTTTCACGCGGATGCGTCCCAAAACGCTGACAAGGAGATCGCTGCCGTTTGTTCGCGAGCGCGCTCGATTCGCACGGCCATCAATTAGAGCTCACGAGAAGGAAAACGAGAAGAAAACGAACGAACGAACGAACGAACGAACCAACGAACGAACGGACGCAAAGTAGCCGCTAAGAGCTCGAAAATTTACAGCCCGGCGGCGCGCGCGGCAGCTCCCGCCGAAGTAGGTGCTAAAATACACACTCTAATGGTGCATCCGCGCCACTGCCGCCAGCAGAATCCGCAATCGCGCAAAAGGAATGCCGCTCGACATTTTTTCCCCACGCGAAAGCTGCACTCCAATCGCGCGCGGCCAAACGATCGAGAGCTTCATCCAATTTGGCTTCGGTCGCGGTCAAGGAGGGTCGTCGTTCCGTCGCAGCGAACGATGAAAGAGAGAGAGAGAGAGAGAGAGAGAGAGAGACACGAGGGTGTCATTACTACTTTGCGAATCACTGTGATTACCGTCCTTCCGCAGGAAGTCGCGCCGCGCATCGCGCATATCCATTCTTCATATTCTCTCCTCTCCTCTTTTTCCGCGCGCTGCCCTAGTGAGAAAAGTGCGCCTTTACGTAACTCACGCGAAAAATCACGGGCGAGACACGTACGCTTTGCGCTCGGTGCGTGCCAGCACAATGGTTACCCGCCATGTCGACTGCGAATGAATTCCGCGTATCGTTCGAGTGATTTCAACCGAAGTAGTCGACTGTGGCCTTTTTTTTTCTTTTTTCAACGTCGCGTTTGATGATAGTAATTTTTTCAGCAACAAATCCATTTCTGTGGTAATGACTTGACTTGTCTTGTCCTATATTTATGTTCTTGTTATTCCCAAAAGGAATCATACTGCCATTGAAATATCTGGTAGTCGTTATAAACAGTTATATTCATAAAATTATCATTCCTCAACGCACCACGTGAGCACGCGAGCGTACCGTCTTGTTCGCCTTCTCGTCTCACGAACCGTATCATCGACGCCGAGTAAATAACATATGAATAAAAATCCACTATCGACTCCCATCGCGACAATCCTCATATTTTCCACGTGAGTCCGAAAAAAACGTACCGCCATTAGAGTCTCGAGAGGAGGAAGAAGAAAAAAGTTTCATTAAGCGAAGCCAACGCAATAAAATTTCCATTTATATCGATCAAACGATCGAGATAAGCCATTCAAATCACACTTCAGCATCTTCGGAACGGTGCGTGTGGCGGCGTGGCCGCCGCCGAAAGCAGCGTCTCTCGCGATAAATAAGATTTCCATAACGCTGATTTAGCGTCTAAAATTCCCGAAGAGAGGAGAAAAGGACGAGAGACGAGGCGTAGGCCAATAGGAATGGAGCAATTAGCTTTAACGAGATAATAATCGACGCAGGCGGCCCTTTATCCTCCGCGTGAAAATGAAAATCAGCTCGAGATTTCATTCGCATGCGTGCGCGCCGCTCGATTATTTATCGATGTCATAAAAGCGCGGCGCTCGAAACTATCTTTTGATTTCCCCTCTTTGATCCGAACCGGCGGCTTCGCGCTGTCTTCTGCCTTTTTCTCCTCTCTCTCTCTCTCTCTCTCTTATTTATTCCGACGAGCGCGATCGTATTTTAATGCCTCGCCGATCACGGCTCGCTTCTTTTATAAGTATTCTCGCGGCGGTGCATATGCGCGGCGCATGGAATTTCGTGATTACGGCGATCTGGCGAGCGCGACTGTCGATGAGTTTTTGATCAGCCTTCTCCGCGCCAGCCGATCCTTCGTTCGCGGCGATCGATCCGCCGGCCCGACGGCAACGAAAACTTTCTTGACGGCTAACGATGTACGTCGGTCGCGTTCAAGGCTGCAAATTGATATTTAGCTATACACATGTCGACGAAAAAACACGAGAATGAATTAATCAATGGCATCCAAATGACCGGCTGGCCGACAAGCTGCTTATCGATACAGAAAAGAATTCAATCAAACGCGAGCCATAAATCATCCGCGTAATAGGCTTCGAAAAAACCATTCGGATATTTCCCAAGTGGAAGCCGTTTAGTAACACCTATCGTCGTTCTGGCCGAGCGCCCGATTAATATTTGACGAAAGAGAGCTGGCCCCGTAATAGGCAGGCCGATCCAGCGAATTAATGTCAAGTACGCGGGAGCAGCTCTCGCGCTGCTTATCGACAGCGCTCCGCTCGAGAATTAAAAGACGGGTCGGGTTTCGTTTGCGCGCGCCCGAGAGGGCTATAATTAACCTTTGGCGCACTCGCACACAGGCCCCGGCGAAACGCTGTCGCGCGCGCGCGCACGTGCAAGCTCGCCCCCGTCGCGTGACACTTTCCTTCGGATATTCATGAGGCTTGAATATGTAGCTTCGGCACATCGACGGCCGTCTGAATTATTTAGATATGTTTCATCGATCGCTCCCGTTCCTCCGCGCGCCAGAGCTACGCGTGGCTCGCCAGCCGAATCGGACTTGGTCGTCCGGAGTGCCGCGTCCTTCCGAACGGTCGCGCGCGAGGATCCCGCCGATCGGCGCGGAGCACGTGGCCGGCGAGTTCGATTTTCCGCGCTCGATTGATAAAAACGTCAGCCGAGCAATTAATGAAAATCCGCCGTCCAGGCGATTTATTATTAGAAGGTTTTTAAGAGGGAGAGAGAGAGAGAGAGAGAGGCTTCAATTACTTTGCCGACAAAGCAAGACGCTTTGGTATTCGGCTCTCCGTTCCTTTTCTCTCTCTCTCTCTCTGTCCTTTGGGTCTTTTGTTCTCGATTCGTACATTGTCGCGCGCGCTGTGGGAAAATTAGATGATCGAGCGCGTGCGGCTCGCGCATAAGGGAAGTGGCCTACGGGCCTCGTAGCGTACACTTTGTGCGCGCAGGATATACGGCTAATTTTTGGCCGCGCGGGGAGCGAGCCGCTCTTATGTAATTTCTGCTTCCCTTTTTGCGGCTCGCGCGGCCAAAGGCTCTCTCGATGCGTACTTCTGTACGCGTGACGTTTCGCTTGGAAGGTTTTCGGCGTCGGGCCTCGAACCGGCGCGCGAGGAGGTGCGCGAGGAGGTGCGCGGAAAAGCCGGGGGGCTTGCGCGGATTAATCAAGATTTGGCGTGCGCGTGCCTAATTACCCATTATCGCTAATTGTTGCGCCGGGCTCGTGGCCTTCCTGCCATTAACCAAACACACGTTCGCGCGCGGCCTCGTTTGAGGAATCGAATTAAAACTCGGCTTCGCGCGGCCGCTCGGTCTCTAATTAAAATATTTGAGCGCTCGCGCGCGCGCGCGCGATTCCTCATAAGACCGATCGACAACTGCGGGAGCGCGCGGCGCGCACAATTAGCGGAGCGCGCAGAAAAACGGCGCGGCCGATTATTTCGTAAATATGGATGAGAAACGCGACTCGCGGGCTTTTGATGTCGAACCGCGCGTGGAGGAGCGACACACCGCGAGCGCGTGGAAAGAGCGTAATTGATGGCGGCGGAGAACGCTGCTGAGAAATTTATTCGCGCGGCGAATAATTTGTTTCGCGCGTTGGGAACGGCGACGCGTCTCTCCTGCACATATATCCTCGGCTCGTTTCTCCGTGGCCGGCTCTGATTTTTTTGTTCCCTTCCTTTGCCGCGCGAGGCGCGAGCTTGCGCTGGGAGTCACTGGCCCGAATCATCGCTCTCGATTTGCGGCTACGAGTACTTACTCTCCGACGCGCCGTTCGTTCGGTTCGTTCGGTTCGATCGGCGTCCCAGCTGCGCGAGGAGCGAATGCTGAAAATCGGGTGGCAATGAATAATAAGACAGTTTGTTTTATTTTTAAATTAATATATAATTTTTAATCGTGTGGATCTTTCGGAAGGTTCGGAGACTAAAAGTGTACAATATACAATACAAGCGATAGGAATACCTTTGTTTTTCTTCCATCTTATAATCTTATAAGGGCGAAAAGTTCCGTCTTAAAACGAGGGCGAACGATCCGTGTTAAAAGAAGACGAACAACTCCGTTCGTAAACGGGAATAACATTGGTGGACAAGAGTGCGAGCGATCGGAGCCTCGTTCGTTTATTTCTTTTTTTCCTCTGTATATTATTGCTTGTTTTGTCTTTCCTCTTCGACTCGCTTGAAAGCCCGCCACGCGCTTGTTTATCTCATATACATGTACAGCATTCGATAACGTGGACCGCAATTCGCTAAACACAATAAAAATCCTCAGTCACTTGTTATCGTGATAAAATTTCTTAATTTTCTCTCTGAATTCTTCAACACGCGTCGCTAGCCGCAGTCTCGAGATTCGCGCCTCGGCCCGGACTCGGCTGCGAGCCCGAAAATTTGCCGAAAGGCGTTGCGATTTCGACACGGCGTTCGACAGGCTGCACCCACACTTTTATACTTACACATAAGTATATCGAAAACCATTGGGTTTTTCGCTTGACTAAGAATTTTTACACAGTCCAAGATCCAAACTAAGACTCTCACAGAAAATAAGGAAACCAGGCCTAATGACAAATGTTCTTCTGTTAACCCTGCAATGCCAATATGTTTGCACGTCTACACTCTTTTACTCGCTGATGCTCTGCTGCTATCATGCTTTCGTCAATTCAGATTCATCACAAAAATGGATTAAATTGTACTATAATTATGACATACTTCATACGCTTTCCCAATTTTTATTAATTTAATTATTACTTCATGCTACAAATATACAATGACTATAATTACTACACGTAAAGATACAAATCGAAAACTTTTTACACCGTTAAAAATTATTTCTTATTGCTACGAAAAAAATGAAGAATCGTATTTGTACGTAATTACTCTATATACTTTTGTTATAATTTAAAAGAAGATAACAATTTTTTAAATACAGTATCATATGCTATAGACAATTTTAACAGATAATAATGTATGTATACTATTTAATACATTTTTATGATTTGATTTCCGGACTAACCAATGGGAAAGAATTTTTTTTTTTTTCGATAATACGCGCCAAGTTGCTTGTTTTTTATTGCTCACGTGCCCCAAACAAAAAAAATCAAAAAGAGAAAAGAAAAAAGAAGGAGTTTTGTCGCTGAAAATTTACAATTAACGAGGAAGTAAGGAAAAAGAGCGAGTTAGGAGAGGAGAAACAGCAGAAAAAAAGTGGAGAAAAAAAAAAGAAATAATTAATCGGTGAACCCACTAATAGCATTGTAGGGTTAATAATAGCTTTTTATTCATTCTCACTGTCTCTCTCTTTCGCGACTCTCGTGCGCCAATGCTCTCTCTTCCCCTCCTGTTTTTGCTTGATAATTTATATAATTATGATACACGTGTATGATACAGGTGCAGCTATCGGACTAGCCTAGTTCACTACATGGTTTTTTTGTTGTTGCTCGCTTTCACTCACTCTCTCTCTCTCTCTCTCTCTCTCTTTCTCTCGGCATGCCACATTCTTATATGTATGCAAGCGGATGGTGCGTGCGCTATAAGGAGGTAAAACGAGAATCAGATCATCGACGACGCGACAAGATTAAAATTTACTTTACTCTCTTTCTCTCTCTCTCTCTCTCTCTCGCTCCTTGAATATTCTCTTACACTCACGCTCACACTTGCAAGCATACGCATCATTAAAATTATCTACATCAATGTCTACGCTTTATACAAGTTTTCGAGCCGCCTCGAGCACACTCGCACACTCGCGAACGCCTAACTACTACATACGTAAGATAATGATCGGATCACAAAAAGTCGTCGCCCGATATTTTTATTTGCTTTTCTTGCTTTACTCTCGTCTCGGCCGTCGCTCTCCTCGCCCATCCCTCTCTCGTTTACCGCGATACATTTCGACATCAATTGGGATTCATATGCATACTCGGCGTCGCGGAGTATACCGTAGAGAGCCTCGCCTATCGTTGGTCAATTTCTTACTTGCTTCTTTGTTCGCTGTTTTATCTATTTATAACCGGATATCGTGTTTAATATATCACTAGGGTTTTACGTATGTACAAAGGGGCTGCAAGATAGTTGTAAGAGAATGCGCTTAATATTGCAATTATCGTTTAATAGATGAAATTCTTATCGAGTCTAGGCGAAAACAAAGGAGAACAACCAACGTTTCCGTTTTTGCAATCGCCGTCGTTCGTCTAAGTCGGCTCATCGCGCGCGTCAATATGTGGCGCGCGCGTGTGTGTGTGTGGGTGGGGGGGGGGGGGGGGCGTGTCAAAGGGAGACATCGCGGAGGGCGCTTCCTATGTATATTATGTATATATCTGCCGGTCCGTGTCACTCGAAGCCTCCCGAAAGCACTCTCGCGCGCGCGTCTTTCGCGGTCCTCGAAGAGAGAAGGACGCGCGAGCAACGACGAGCGCGCGCGGACTCGGCGCGCTCCCCCGGGCGCGACGAAATGGCCGCCGGAGCCGGCCATTTCGAGAGAGCGGCGAGCGCCGTCGCGCCGTCGCGCGCGGTCACACCTGTGCAAATCCGCCGCACGTCAACAGCAATTGCACTCGTCCCCGGATCGACGGCTGCTACGAGGAGCTAGTCGAGTCGGGCGGTTGCCTCTGCTCGTCCAGCGAGCGTGGAGCGCTCAACTCGGAATGGCTGTGCCGGCGGCGCGGCTCCTGTCACGGGCTGCCGCCGCCGCCGCCTCGGTCCAGCTCGGGGCTGAGCCGCGGCCGCTTGTCCTGCAGCCCGTTCACCATGTTCTCGATGCTCTTGAGCTCGCCGGACGCGACTTGCGCACTGGCCGGCGTGGGCGAGCCCGTGGGCGGCCGCGGCGGCGGGGAGCGCGGGCTCATGGTCGTGCCGCGGCTGCCCGGGGTGACGGTCTCGAAGGCCGAGCCGTGGCTCGGCGCGGGCAGGCTGTACGGCGCGAACCGGTGGCCCTTGAGCGAGTGCAGCGGACTGGCCAGCGGGTGGGGGTAGTGGGCGGCGAAGAGCGCCGGGTGCTGCGAGGCCGCCAGCGCGAGCTGGGCGTTGAACAGCATGCCCGGCGTGACGCCGCCGTGCAGGCCCAGCGGGTTGGGCGGCAGCAGGTGGCCGGGGCCCGGGTAGAGGCCGGGCACCGGCGGGTACAGGTAGGGCAGGATGGGCGGGTGCAGCGGCGGGCCGACCGACACGTCGGGCCTCGGCCCGTCCGAGGAGCCGTGGTGGCTGGTCAGGCCGGTGCCGCCGCTCTCCGAGCCCGACGACTCGCTGCCGTCGCCGCGGTCGCTCAGGCCGCTCAGGCGCTCGTCGCGGTCCCGCGAGTGCGACCTCGCGGGGTGCGGCGTGTCGGGGCCCACGACGTCCAGCAGCTTGTCGTCGTCGTCGAGGTAGTCGTTGCCGGAGTTGGACGAGCGGCGCTTGTCGGGGGAGCCGGGCCCGCCCTGACTGCTGCTCAGCCTGGAGCCGCCGCCCGACACGGTCAGCAAGGCTTGCCTGCTGGAACAGAAAGCAGGCCGCGAGGCGCACGGTCAGCGCTGTCGTATCGCCGCGTGGGCGCGCGCGCGTTATCTTAATTGCAGCGCAGCCTCGGCGCGACCGCTCGCTCGCGAACGCGTGCTTTCGACCGGTGGACGCGCGCGCGCGCGAGGCGAGCCGAGGCCTCCGATAAGCGAAACAAAGCGATACAGCGCGCGAGGCGAGCGGAGAAGCCGCACGACGGAGCGAGCGCTTGCACTTGCAGCAATTGGCGTGGCCGCGCGCGCCGAAGAGGGCGCAGCAGGAAAATCCAATTTCGCGCCCGCGGGAAAGGGAATCCCTTCAAGCGGACGAGATTCGCACCTACCGACGCCCTTCCGTTTCGTCGATCGGCGCCGCGCGGACCACAGTTCGCTGATTCTCCGCGGCGAAGGGTTTCTCCCGCGCGTCAACCTGGCTGGCGCTGCGGGTCGCTGCGGTCTGGTTTTCGGCGATCGGTCGAGTCGGCGCCGTCGACGGCGCGACGATCACGGAGCGCGCGCAGCTCCGCGAGCACGACTAAGTCCCGTGTAAGTCGCGCGAGAGAACTCGGCGGCTCGGCGAGACGACGAGGCTTAGCGCTCCCTAATGCCGTGTAATGCGATCAAGCCTGCGCCCGCGGCTCCCTCTCGCACTCTCGACACGTAACACACGGCGTCGCCGAAGTAGAACGAAATCGTAGTCGTCGTCGAAGTAGACTCGCGTGACCCTTTGCCAGCGGCGCGGGCGGCGCGGGCGGCGCGGGCGGCGCGGGCGGCGAGCGCGAGTTTCCGCGGAAGCGACGACGACTCGATTAGCGCGCGCCCGGCCCCGAACGTCGGAATACGCCGGCCGATTTACAGCGCGCCGAGCAGAGGCTCGAATGGGGAAAATATGCAAAGCGGCCCCCGCGAAGCGTCGGTCTAATTAGAATAAGGGTTTCGCGCAGTCGCTCCCCGCCCCGGCCGCTTTTCTGGAACACGGCCAATCATTGGATTAGCATAGCCAGGCTGCGCCGCGCTCTACGTCTGGATGGCCTTGCGCTTCGACTTTATTTATTATTCAGCGCGCCTCGGTTCGCTCTTCGCTGTTCGCTCTTCGGTTTCGGCTGTCGCCGGGCTCGCGCGGCGAGAATCGAAGGCGCGCGCGCGCCCGGGGATTGGCCGTCAAAGGCCAGGCGTCTTCGGCGACGGCCGTGCGAGTGCGCCGGCTCGGGTCCACTCGCTCGGACGTCCGAGTCAAAGGGAGCCGCACCGCGATCCGCCGATGAATATTCAAATTTCGACAGCGTCTTATCTCGCGTTGTATCGCCAACCTTTTTTCTCTCGCTCTATATTTTTCTGGCAGAAAGCCCGCGCGAAACAAAGCTTAATTAGCCGTAGAAGAAGAAATGCAAACGACAGTGCGAATCATCGTCAGCGCGGCGAAGAGGAGGCGAGCCGACAACGAAAAGCGAGTCGGCGGTGCGCCAGCGGTGCGTGAAACGCACGAGAGAGGCTCTCCCCGAGCGCGCGCGCGCGCGCCATATTGGATTTCTGGCGCGAGCGAGATGCCTCTTTTTTTCACTCGAGGACGCGCAGCGTATGCTTTCGAACATCATCGGCATTCCTCCGGGCCGGCAGTTAGTATGTCATCGATTGCGCAAAAAACGAGGAGAAGCGCACTCGGCGTTCTTTCGCGGCGGCGCGTTCGTTGAACTGCGCCCATCCAAAACTAATTATCCGCGCGGCCTCAAAGTATTTATCGGCGCTGCGCGCGTGATCTATTCCATGCATACGTAAACGCGCCGGATATAACTCGATGAGCGGCCGAGGCCTCCGCCCCGATATTGAATACAAATGAAGGCCGCGCTCTTGGCCGTCTGGAGGGTGCAAATTAATCGGGCACAGGACGGCTGCGGAGAGGGGTGGGCTGTGGGCTGTGGGCTGTGGGCTGTGGGCTGTGGGCTGTGTGCAGCCGTCGCCTCTCTTCTCGATATACTCACTTTTTCTCGCGCTTGCCCGCGCCCGTGTCTCGGAATCCCTTCGCGAACGGATTGTTGTCGATCTTCAGCTGCGTTATCTGCGAACAAGCAAAGCAAAAACAATCCAATTGGTCGAGCTTCTCATCAGTTCGTCCTCGCACGCGTTTCGACACACACTTTCGTCACTCGGCTCTCAATCGCCGTTCGATAGCCTTCGCGTGTTCGTTTATACTTGCAAAAGTCATAAACAAATCGGCATCGCGCGCCGAGAGAAAAGCTATCGCCAGCGCGCGGCGACAAATGATAATCGCGCGACGCCGCCGCCGCCGCCGCCGCCGCACAAAGCCCCATTGAATCGCGCTTCAAGGTCGCGATAAAATATAGACATTTTTTCTCTCTCTCCTCTCGGCCGCGCGGCACGAAGCTGCTCGTCGGTTTCCCATTCAACTCGTCCGTCACCCGCTACGAGGAGAGTTCTCTCTCTCTCGCTCTCGAGGACAGTGCGCTGCCTTGTACGTTCTCATCGTTGTTATCTCGCGAGTGAAACGTTGAAAGATGCCGTGCGCGCCAAAGATGTGCCCCGATGATGATTTCTTATCGATCGACCGATGATTTTCGGAAGAGAACAAGTGCGAAGCCCCAGACCCGTGGAGGCGCGCGTGGTTGCTCGAGACGATCATGCGACGTCGAGAGAAAAGCGCGCAATACGAACCTTCTCGTTCTGGTAAGCAGTGACGGCGATGAATTCAGTCTCCTTGAAAACATAACTCCTGAACGTGGAGTAGGGAAGCTTGAGGATGTCGTTGGCTCGGACCAGGTGAAACCTCGGCTGGTACTTGTGCATGGAGTTTAGTATCGTCTGCAACAGAACACGGCAAAAGCACACTTTATTGGGACAGACTGCTCCGTGTAATCACTTATCAGCGTTCTGCGCTACAAAGCCGCGCTCATCGATCGTTAAAGGCAGCCAAGTGCCGGCCACTACGTGTTTCGTGCGCGCGTGCGTGCGTGCGTGGGTGTATGTGGGTGTATGTGGGTGTGCGTGGGTGTGCGTGGGTGTGCGTGGGTGTGCGTGGGTGGTATATCGATACAGGCCCAGGTGTAATGGGAGGTGCCACGCGACTGAAGTTTCCCCATTATGGAGATTGATCATTCCCGCGCCCTCCCCCTCCCTCCCTCTCGCCCCTGTCCCTCGACACAACTCTCTTTCGACGTCGTGCACGTTATAGCTCGCCTATTAGCTTATGTATATACTTGGCTGAGTCAAAGCTTTCACTCGGCCGGAGTATAATACCTCCGTCAATTAGCATTCGCTTAGTCGATCATTCATTCGCCGGGATATTTTTCAGCCGGTCGAAAATGCCAGAGTTCCCGTAAAAAGTGACAGCGTTTCGAGTTCGGAAGGATGAAAAAGACAAACGAAAAATAAAGGTAGCAGCTCGTTATTTATTGAACGGGCTCGTATAGCCGCGGAATTATATATACATAAGGTATGCGGCGAAAGAGCAGTAAATAAAATAATCCCAAAGCCGGTGGCGGCGTTGGCGGTATAATACAAAGGGCTCCGAATAATTAGCGCGAGAGATAGCTAATCTCTCTCGAGGCATTAGCCTATCGAATACCTTTTCCGAGCGCGAGCTTCTTCCTCGCGTCGTTTTTTCTCCCCTTTCGACTCTTCTATGAGTAGGCTTACGGTTTCCTTCCTTTTTTTTCTGCGCGTCGACGTGAAATTCTGTTGGGAGGTTGCTCTCGTGAATTCGTGAGAGAGTTATTCGGACGACTTGTCGAGTTGCCTGGGAGCGCGCTGCACGCCGTTATGAAGTCGAATTTGAAGGACGTACGCAGCACGCTGTAGGCAAACTCTTGGTGAAAGCTCGAAAAAAATGCACCGGCAGAGTCGACAGAGGGACGAGAAGAATGGCGAAAGCACAGCAGCAACGTCTCATTCGATTAGCCGAAAAAGAGAGCAAAAGCAAGAGGCAGAGAGAGAGAGAGAGAGAGAGAGAGAGAGAGAGAGAGAGAAATACACGTGGGTCCAGCAGTACAGAAGCCGTTGGTTCTGTCGAGCTAATGACTCTGTCCCGGTGATGTGGCCTCCAATCTCTTACTGTTATCTGTCGCTACCTGGCCACCTACCTGGAATCACGAGAGACGGAGAGAAGGCGCCGGCGTTCCTTTTTAACGAGCTTCTTCTTCTCCTTCTGGCCGTGCCCCGTCCAATTTGTTTCGCGCACAACAAGATTTTTCTTTGTCAAGCGACCAAGCACAAAAGGAACAAGGGGCACGACGGAGTCTCTCTCGCAAAAGCGGCTGCCGCTGCGCTTTGTCATGTAAACACCCGATAAAACGCGAATTACTTTCCACTTCAATTAGCCAAGGCGCCGCGGACTCGCTGTTCGTTCGTTGGCTGCGTGCGCCGGCTTTGATCGTCGCTTATCGAGTGCAGCTTATCGGCGAACAATCGGGCCGGCGCTCAAAGCCGCGAGTCCCTCTGCTGCGCGCTGGATTCGCGTTCGCTGCTCGCCGGCTTCGGATTGCTCGAGCGGCTTTCTCGATGGAAATCGCGCGGCCCGGCGCTTTCCGAGAAAACCGCTGAAAGGGTGGCGCCACCCGCCCGCCTGCCTGCAGCGCTATCGACCGCGCGCACCTCGCGCTCCGAGCTCCGCGATCGCTCTCTTTTCCCTTGCTTCCCTCCCGCGAGAAATTTTCACGGAAGTTCCCATGGAAGCTACTACTGCCGCTGCCGCTGCCGCTGCCGCTGCCGCTGCCGCTGCCGCTGCTCTTGCCTGTGCTCGGCAAATATTTGAATGCCACCCCGTTTCCTCTCTGTCTAAAGAGCAAATATGCCGTAGCACGTGTGTACGCCTGTGCGTGTGCCTTGACTTTTTTTCTTCTGCTCATTCTTCTCCTTTCAGTTTCCTCTGTCTCGAGCGACGGATATGGGAAGAATCGAGTGCTCGACGGTGGGCGTTTTCCTCCAATTGATTCGATCGGAAGCATGAATGACGGCGCGCTCAATGGAAAATTTATATGTCGCTGCAGATGTACTCGAGTACTTTTAGCGCGCGGAAAGAAAAAGAAAGATATCCCGCCACTTGAAAAGACATCCAACTGTGAGTAAAGAAGGCGAAGAAAAGTCCCGATACGGAAATAAGCCCTCAAAGTGGAGCAGCTTTCCCCCTCGGAAGTGCGAAATTGATACGCACGCAAATGTACATTGAAAGTATTGGAAAGACGGAGGAGAGAAAGGAGGAATCGCCTGCGCGCCATGCGCAAAGAAAAACTCGACAATAGGCGACTTGATTGACGAAAAAAAAAGGAGATGAATCAGTCGAGGTCCGATTCCTTCCGGGCGGCGCACTTTGAGTCTATCATTTACGGCTCGCAAAAAAAAAGATAAAATAAGCAGGCGCGGGAATCGACGCGACACGTCGAGAATTTTTACGCGCGGTCAAGCGACCCGCGCAAATCCGCGTTTCTTTTCTCGAAATTTTGATTCTGCCAAAAGGAAAACATCGAGACGAGTGATGGAAACGGCGAGGGCGATAAAGCATAATCGCGCCTCGATAGCGCGCGGCGTCGAGTTTCGGCGTTAGCGCATAAAATTTGTCGCCTCTGTATCGGCGCGCAACGGAAAAAAAAGTGGAGTTTAATAAGGTTATCGAGGTCCAGTTAGCACTCGCTATCGTCTGCACTATGCGGGCAATAACACGCGCGCCAGAAGCAGCTCTCCCGCGGCCAGCAGTACGCATCGTCGCCGCTACGCTCCAGTTGTTTCGGGGGCGCGTGCGTCGCTTATCGCGTCGCACTGTCGCCGAGAGGTGACGATCCGCTGCTTTGCGAATCGCGGCGCGCTCCGCGCGACGACGAGAGCCGCCGCGACTCTCTCGACCTATTTTCGATTTGGGCGCGCGGATTTTCGAGAATGGCGGCGAACGAGGAAAAGAGCCAATCGGTTATCTCGCTCGTCGACGCCAAGATAACGGCAGCCACGGTGGCAAAACGAGGACCGCGAAACAACAACAACAACGGCGATGAGGTTTCCCGGGAGCGTCGATCAAGCGAGAGGGGGTAAAAGGATCCAGCGCTTAATTACGGAAAAGCGGAGATGCGCGAACGCGGATAGCGAAGGGGCCTGGAAGGTTGCGTGGCGCGCTGCCCCATCGCACTGATGGCGTTCCGCGCTTCGTTGGACCGCAGCTCGTAAAAAGGAGCGAGCGCTCGCGTAATTGCGACTCGATCGAATCTCCGACGAGCTTTCGGGAGAGAAAGAAGAAAGAGGCCCGCAAGCGGGACGTCATCCCCGAATCGTCACGAAAAATCTCAAATAACAAAGTCATCGCAGCAGGCCGAGCGGGAGGACAAAAAAAAGAAGCGTCGGTAGGCTGTGTTTGATCGAGTACGACTACGACGACGACGACGACGACGACGGCTGTGTATCCATAGGTGTCTCCGATATCCGTGGTGGTCGCACGAGAAAAAGAGGGGACTCGGAGAAGAGTGGGCGCCGTTGATGCGCAAATAGAGCGAGCGACGACGCGCATCCATATGTAACGTTCGGGGACAGAGAGCGAAAGGTCCATTAGGCTTTAAGTTTGCACGGCGGCGGCGGCGGCGGCGAGCCTCTGAAGTTTCCGCGCGCTGCTCGGCTGCTGGCGCGTCTGAGAGCCGCGCGCATACGTGCGGATTCGCCGGGCGCGCGCCATCACGGCCGAATTGCCGAATGATCGCGCGAAACAATATCGACACAGCGGCCTTCTCGGAAATCGGCGATCACGTGCGCACAACGCGCACGTCTGTCGCTCGGGCGGACAGAGCGAGAGGCCAAAACACAAGCAGCTCGTTGAGCGATAATCGCGCGGCGCTCTCAAAGATTGACTCAACAAACCTACCGCGCTCGCACGAGAGAAAGAGCTCGTGCATTGAGACTTTCGGTCTCGCGCGGCCACTCGAGAGGGACAAGAGAGAGAGAGAGAGAGAGAGACAGAGAGTGAGCGAAAGACAGGTTTCAGCGGAAAAAAGCCCGACGCCGTAAGGCCAGCGCGCAGAGAGCTTTTATTGTGTTTCGGTAATTAGCGCAAGCCCCGGCGCTGTTCCACTCGTTCAAACAACATTTTGTAATAAACCGCGCTCAAAGGGCCGGCAGCGCTCTCAGCGCTCTCTCGCTCCTTATCCCTGAAAGCTTCCGGCCGCCCCGAGCTTGCGAGCACCGCCTTATTGTAATATCGAAGCTCGCTGTTCTTTTGGCCGCGCCGCATTGTTGCCGCCCGGCCGCCGGCTGCCGGTTCTCCTCGCCAGTGCACTCGCTCCGAATAAGAATTGTTCCAATTGAAGCTGATGCATATTAAAGACAATGAGAGAAAGCAGAAGGCCGTGGGAGGAGGGAGAGGCCGTACGAGCCAATCGACGAGGAGACAATAAGAGCGTTCGTCCGGTTATAAAGCTAAACGACGTATAGTCGTCACCCGGAGGTGGCTCTGATGGAAATTATCGTTGGGCCGCCTAACAGAGCTCAATTGGACGCCATCAGTGCCCGCAGGCCTGGGCCTGCCTCCCATTATGCAATTTTCGACGCGCCGCAGGCCGGAATCCGCCCGAGCCGCGCCGTTTTCTCGCCGATCGACGGCAATTAAGAGGCACGCCAGTTCGATCTGGCGGCCGGCGAAAACGCGCGCCGGAGGAGGCTTCGCGGAGCACGACGGCCGGACGACGGCGGAGCGTTAAGCAGGAAGCAGTCCCGCCGCCGCCGCCGCAGCAGCGACAGCCCATTAAAGCTCTATTGCCAGGTCGCTCGTCGATTTCCTTCGTCCTTTCCTCCTCGATAACCCTTCTTGGGGGAGCGCGTCTGGCCGAGCTTCT